TTACTGACTTGTAGTTGAATGTGTCTCAATAAACAGAAACATTATTGTCCTCATCTAACATTTGTGAAGTCCCCTCCCTCCACAATTGCTAGTGTGTGTGTGGTAGTGTGGGGGTGTATCTGAATTTACTGTTTTCTCTCAAGTGCTTCCTAAAGCAGTTTTCAAGAACCTTGGGGTCTTTGTAGCATCTCTGAACCATCCCTGCTCCAGGGACTAAAACGGCACACATACAGAGACTGCATTCTCCAAACTCAAGGTTTTTGGTTTTGTTTTTCCTGAATTGTGAATTTATTTATATTTCTTAAAATTAGCACATTTGGTTGTATGTATAATGGGTTGCCATTACAGAAAATCATACAGTCAGGTGAAATTCAAAATATTTTTGTAGAGAAATCTAAAATCTGTAGTCACAATAAATACTCAGTTATTAGAACAGTGGGAATTAAGATACAGGAATATAGTAATAAAGAGGCTGTGGTCTGATTCCACCTCACAGGTCAGGCTTTTGGCTCACTATTTTGCATCATAATTCTACTCTAAATCTGTCTTTTCACCGTTCTGAATGTGCTGTGCATTTTCATTAATAAACATTTCTTGAACACCTACAATATGCCAGACACTTCGCTACTAAGGAGTAGAAATATGAAGGGATAGTCACTGATCAAAGGAATAGATAGTCTAGCGGAAGAGACAGTCAAGCAAACCAGTGGGTGCCATACTCCATTGAGGGCTTGGGCTAAATTGTACCTAGGGTGTTCTGGTAGCACTGAGGAGGGGCATCTAAATCAGAGCAGGTAGCCTTTGGGCTGATTTTCAAGGATGGCAGACATGTGCTAGGAAGGGCATTCCAGGCCCAGAGATTAGGAAGCTCAAAGACACAGAGGCAGGAAGTAGCTTGATGCAGTCAAGGAATAACTAATAGTTTCTTGTGGTTGGAGCACAGGGTTAGCATGCTCAGTGGAGCTGGAGAGAAGGTTAGAGAGGTGGGGCAGGGGCCAGAACTTAAATGTAGGAAAGGGACTGAGGAGGAAGAGGCTCAGATTCTCACCCTGTTCCTAGCTGGACTCCCTATGAGTCCTCAAGCATGTCGCTAGGCATAGGGTCCTCATCAGTACAACCAGAGAACTGGCGAGTCATTCCCAAACTGTGTTCTGGAAGCACTGTTCCAGAAGATGTGAAAAGATCTGTGCTTTGCTATGAAAAATGTTTTCTTAAATAATTAAGGGAAGATTGAATACCACATTTACCTCTTTCAGATTCACAATGACATTAGCATAGTAAAAGTTTCCAAAGTCCTCCAGTGAAGAAACCACTTCAGTTTTCTTTAACTCAGCATTTTCCAAATTACTTGAACTTAGAGTCCATTTTCTATAATATTACTATTAGTATCATGCTGCAGAGCCCCATTTTGGCAAACAATGGACAAGGTCTTAAAGGTCCAATCATCTTCATTCATTCATTAAATTTTTTTTTAAAGCACAGAACCAAAGAGCTGGTCCTTGTACACCCTCTTCCTATTTTAGCCCGCTGGTGCATCTCTATAAGAAACTTTAGTTATTTTTCATAGCAATGGCTTTTTTATTGCATCCGCTATCTTGGGATTTTTTTTTCCTTTTCTCATTTTTCATGTCATGCCCAGACTTTATTACCTGGTAATAAGTTGCAAGAAGTGAGAATTGAGTTGTTTCTAAACAAATATGAATCACTTGTGATATGTTTGGTAGAAATTATCATGAATATAATCAGGGTTTTACTTATTATAAAGTCATTATATTCAACATTGGCAAATCCCAAAATTAATAACAAGTCAATACATCATTTGAGATGCCAAAGAGATCAAATAAATAAAAACAGAATTGACCTTGTTAGAAACTTGATATTTTCAACACTTATCTGTCAGAGCCACTGATTTGGAAATTGTAATAAATTCTTGGAAAATGGGAACTTTTTTCCCCTGTAAAAATACCCATCATTTGGCAAACTACAGTGTCATTTTCCTTGAAGAGAATGTAGTGATTGATTATCCAGAGTGCTGCCATGACAAGGTAAACCAACCAAATAGCTGGAAAATTGTATGTAATCATATAGCATCACATAAGCTTTTTGTTGAGCACGATCATTAGAATTAAACTATGGCATTCTAATCATTCCCTTATAGGTACTTCCTATTTACCCCAAAACCTTTATCTCCGGGGGATGTTCCCATGTGCTTGAATTTTCCCCTTCCCCTCCGACAGTCACAGGAATAAACACAGACCACCCTGAACCCACCCAACGAGACTGCAGAATGCAGAGATTCCTGTGTCTAGCATCCCCGATGTATGTGACATTCGGAGAAGTTTATTTATGTGCTAACATTATTAGTACTGTTTCTCTTATAGTTGCATTGTCCTGAAGGTCCTGAGAAATCATAAACTGGTGGGGGAGGGGAAGGATGGGAGATGGACAAAGGGAAATGAAGAATGCCACTCTTGCTTTTTAGAAGTTGACCATCTAATCAGGAAGACCAGACACACCTGAGATGACCTGAGAACAATTCGACATCTTTCCCTCTGTGTAAAAGCACCAGCCCACTGATTGAATCCCGGAGTGATGAAGGCCAGTTGAGGAGTCACCAAAGCATCCTTGGTTATTAAAAGACCCAAATTGAGTCATAAGAAAGGAAGAGGTTACCCAAACCTGCCTGGAGTTAATTATCAATAGCTTAATTGGAAATAGAACCAGGCCCTTTCTCTCAGTAAACCCAAGCAGTCTCCCCGTGCTCCTCTTCCCTATGGTGTTTTAGATTTTAAGGAGGCTTTGTTAGGTTGGCTGAACTCCACTCTCTTTATTAATTGCTGTCCACATGTTATAGGATATCCTGTGTTCTGAATCAGGATGAGGATTTTAGATTCTTCTGAGCAGCGTGGGGACATGTAGCAAAGCAGAATCAATTCCTGTCACTCACACAAATACAGAGGAACGGGATTATGGATCAGGGTGAAGCTGCAGTGCTTTATTCTTAAAATCAATACAGAAAAGGAAGTTGAACTTGTGGGGATTCTACAGAGACTGTAATTTGGTTTCCTGTGAGGTTTGCCTTACAGAATATAACTGCTCCTTCCTTTTCACCTTCTGATTATTTTACTTCGGGGGGGTGGGGAGTAGTGGGGGAGCAGGACAGAAGATAAGAAACCTCTGCAGCCAAATAATCTTGAATAAGCACACACATGGAGCTCATAACTCAAGCTGATCCTCCATTGTGTTGAGAAAAGCTGTACAATTTTATCCATTCTTTTTATTTTTAGAAGAAAAAAAAATTAACCAAGACCCTGTACCCCATAGTCTGCATTTAAGCAGAATAAAATGCCTTTGATATTTTTCCACAGGTCACTGTCAGCATAGGAAAAAAAAATTTTTTTTAATGTTTACTTTTATGGCCAAGTCTACCATAGCTTCTATAATTCTATGTAAAATAAATACATATATAAACACACATTCGTCTTCAACAAACCAGTTATTGATCAAAGGATTCCAAGGTGCTAGGCTTGTGATTAATATTTACTCCAGTGAATTTTCCTTTTGAAAGAGGCATGAACTAATGGTTTCAACCACCCAGTCTTGTCTTAATCCAAGATTTAGAGTTGACTATGAATATGCCTCACTGCAGATAGAACGCTGATCTGCTGCACAGTGCTATCAGTCTCTAGCTGCAAGATGGGCTTATTATTGTTTCCCTGGAATATTGCTCTAATTCTGTTTCTAAAATATGTCTGAGTCCCTTTGGCCAGTGCTCAGCAACAATAGGAAATATTCTGATCTAACGAGAAAATGGTAGGACTACAAGCAGGGGAACTCCGGGCTAGCTCCGAGGCAGAGTGGTGTAGTTAAAAGAGTGAAGCCTGCAGCCCTTGGCTCTGCTTACTTCCTTTTCTAAGCCTGTTTTTTCATCTTTAAACTGGGGATGATTGTGGGACTCACCTGACAGGTAGGCACGTTGAGAGGATGAAGTGAGCTGAAGTGTGTAGCGTGCCTAGCCCTGCACTTTGCACTTGTTAATAATTTTTTTTTAAGATTTTTATTTATTTGAGGGTGCCCGGGTGGCTCAGTTGGTTAAGCGACTGCCTTCGGCTCAGGTCATGATCCCAGGGTCCTGGGATCGAGTCCCACATCGGGCTCCCAGCTCAGCGGGGAGCCTTCTTCTCCCTCTGACCCTCTCCTCTCTCATGCTGTTTCTCTCTCGCTCGCTCTCCAATAAATAAATAAATAAAATCTTAAAAAAAAAAAGATTTTTATTTATTTGAGAAAGAGCATGAGCGGGGTGAGGGGCAGAGGGAAAAGCAGACTCCCCACTGAGCAGGGAGCCCGATGTGGGACTCGATCCCGGGACTCCGGGATCATGACCTGAGCCGAAGGCAGACGCTTAACTGACTGAGCCACCCAGGCGCCCCCCTACCCCTGCACTTTGCACTTGGAAGAACCCAGTGTTAATGATTACCGTGATTAATGTGAGTCTCAAATAAGAGAACATATGCTGTGTATGTGAAAACATTCTACAAGCTGTAAGGCACAATACAAATGTTAGTTGTTGTTCTGAAGAGGTGGATGGATTTGAAACTTTTACAACGGATCCTGGACGGCATTTTCTTTGAGCTGCCTTTCGTAGGTCCCTAATCTCAAAGTGCAGCCCTGGAGGTGATAACTCAGTCTCCAACCAAATATGCATTTTCTTTCTTAAAAGCCATACCCATATCTTGTGGATACCAAGAATTCCATGAAACCAATCCATAAACCCCTGTCCTGCATCTTTCTGCAGAAAGTACTTTCTCAGGCCTTTGGAAGACCGGCATCATGGAAGATACTTAATTTGGCTGTTTTTAATCGGTATTTGTCAGTGTCGCATCCTCCCAGGAAACTCACGTCTTAAATGATAGCATCCTTTCAGTTGTCCTTCCTTGTCCTACACATGACTTGAATTAAAAAAAAAAAAACAACTGATGAATTTCTGTGTCCTCTCCCAGAGCACAATCATTGTGGAGAAGACAGTGCAGGACCTCATGAACCTGATGCACGACCTGAGCGCGTACTCGGATCAGTTCCTCAACATGGTGTGCGTGAAGCTGCAGGAGTACAAGGACACCTGTGCAGCGGCCTGCAGGTAGAGCTTCGGTTGTGAGCCTGACCAGTGCCCCGCCTAGAGACACTGTTTTTCCACCATTCTAAAGGAGGACCAGTTTTGCGTTTGTCAAGGGCTCTGACGAGAGCACATGCCACAGAAATAGCCTCCTAGATGCATGTGTAGTCACACCAATAGAGGGAATGTGAGGGACCAAGGGACAGAGCCACTTAGGCCTGCCATTGAGTGACAGAGAAAAAGTGTCAGCCTGGATTTCCATGAAAACCTAGAATCATTAAGATTTGTCTTTGAGGAAATGCCAGATCGTGGTTAGTCCATCTTGTGATCCTAAAAGATCTTTAAAGGAAAGCAATTTTGAATTCTTAGGATCCCTTAATAATCTACAGTATGATTTCTTTTTAGTTCTTAAAATGTGCTTCTCTGGATACTTAATCTAGAGCTTTTCTACCGTCATGACAGGACAGCTACACCTGTTTCCAGCATGCGCAGAACTGAAAAACCATTGTTATGAACTTGAAAACCTTTAGTTTTCCCTCCGATCTCTTTTCTCTGAGCTCAGAAATCTCACCGAGCCATGGAAAAGATCATAGAACTTCTGGTAATAAGCTAATAATAGGAACAAATTATGGTCTGGTTGACAAGACCTGAAACAATTAGGGAAGAAAGGAGTATATAATACTAAATTTTATGTGATATATAATTAAGGATAGATAGGAAAGTAGAGTATGTAATCAGGTGCTACTTGCACAATGTGGGACAAAAGAGTAGAAGGAATGGAAGATGAGAGAGAAAAAGAAGGGGAGACTGGAGTCAGAAAAGATTTCACAGGTGAGATGTGTGCTGGCCTTAGAAAGACAGATGGGATGTAGGGAGACGGACAGAATAAAGGACATTGCAGGGATGCAGGGGAAGCACCAGTATGGTTGCCTGATAGTTCAGCAAAAGTCCTTCCTTGTGTAGAACCCAGTGCTGGACATGGTGCTTCTCATTACATCGTACAATCGCATTTGTCAGAGATGTATTGAGCATTTACCAGATCCGAGACAATGTGAGTGTGTGAGGATAAAGCAGTCAGTCAGTCAGAGATTATAACTTTAATGAGTTTACCTTCTTGGTAGAGAACAGAAAAGTAAATCAGAGACCAAGACAGGTATGTCCACAGTGTTAATTTGTGATAGAAAATAAAAGATAGGTAGACATGCTCTAGGAAGAAGAAACGACTTGAGGACAGGAGCGCCTCCGTGAAGGGTAGGAAGTAGGCCTTGTGAAGAATGAGGAGGAGTTAGGATTTGGGCTAAAGGAGCTGAAGGAAGGAACCAGAGCATTGTCAAGGAGGTGGGAAGAGTAGGAAAAGAAAGAACGACGATGAATGTTTGGGTTTTGGAAAGGAAGGCTGAGCCAAAATGGAGGATCTTGAATACCAAGCTCAAGGAGCTTGGCCTTGTAAAATTAGGTAGTGGGGAGCCACTGAGGGAGAATAAATGGGGAGTACCAGGCCCAGACCTGTGCGTCAGGGAGACTTTTCTGAGCTTCGTGTATGATGGACTGGAAATGCAAGAGTGTGGAGGGGGAGGGAGAGGAAGAGAGGCAACGAGTTCCTGAATTGAAGAAGAGGCAAAGGAGGTGGTAGGAAAGGGACAAATCAAGAGACACTAGGAGGCAAATTTGTAGGACATGGCCACTGGTTAGCTGTAGGGGGTAAGGTTGAAATTAGCCTTATCTTTTCTATGCTGTATTTGTAGAAGATTTTTTTAAACTTGAATTCAAGATCTCACGTTTACCCATTAAATTTAATGTTATTTTTAGCTCATCATTTCAGTCTTTTGCGATATTTTTGAATCCTCATTCTGTCATCAGAATATCTTAGCTCTTCCCCAAATTCCTTGTCATTCCTGATTTTATAAGCAATCTTTTAGTTTCTTTATGTCATTTGAAAATGTTCAACAGGACAGAGCTAAGTTGAGAATTGGGATGGCATACCTCTCGAGACTTCCTTTGAGATTCTCATTCCTATATTACTCAGTACTTCAGGAGTTCATGGGGTTTTCTAAATGTGAATCCAGATTATACCTCAAGGGCAGGCTCTGGAACCTACGTTTGAATGCTAACTTTGCCACTTATTAGTTATATGACCTTGAACAACTAGTTACTCAGCCTCCCTGTGCCTTAATTTTCTTATCTGCAAAAAAGGGATGATAATAGATCTTCCCTCATAGGGTTGTTTTGAAAATGTTAGTCTTCTAGAACTGTTTTTAGCAAAATAGTAAGTTTCCCCCAAAATGATTAGCTGTGATTCTAATGACAAAGATGACCCTTACCACCATTCATGATAGTACCTCCTGTATTTTATCATCTGCTCCTATAAGAGACTTGTTAGATTTCTTGCTGGTATCCTTCCAGTCCTAATCTTTATAATGCGGCTCCCCCTCCCTGAGGTGTCCCCAGAGTGGGCACATACAGGTGTGCAAAGGACAGTACGAGGTATCCTTCCACTTTCAGGACCCGTTGCTCCCTGCTCTTCTGAACCTTTGTTAAGAGCTCTTGCTCATCTTGAACAGCTTACAAATTACCCTTGGAAGCCAGGACTCTTGACCTTGAGCCAGATTTACCATTTCTTCTGTCAAGTCAATGAGTTCCCAAGTTAGGATAGGAACAAAGGCATGTAACTTGTACGTTGGGAGGTCTTCCCGGCCCCAAGTGAGGACCACTTCCACTTCCTGTTCACAAACCATCTTTAATAATCTGTTCTAGAATTTTGCCTATAACTCCAAACTCACCCGATTTCTGTCATTTACTTTCTTTTCTTTTATGAACATCTTTGCTCTCAGGCATTTTTCACCATTTGCCAGGATACCTCTAAGATTATCGGGAATGGTTCTGTGATTCTCTGCTCTGAATTATTTCTGTGCCCCAAGGTCCTTGCCTAAATGTATTAAACCTGTCAGAATATTCTTTAATTTCAGTAACTGTTGACACAGTTGGTTTACCCCATCCTTAAAGCAACATATTGGTTTCTAGGATTTCATTCATTCAGCAGATGTTTATTGGGTATTTATATAAGAGTTTATAGATACAGCAATGAAACAAAAGACAAGATGCTGCTTTCATGGAGTTTACATTCTGTTGGAGATGGAAGAGAGGAGACAGACAATGAATAAATAGAATGCATAAACACAAAGAATTTTAAAATAATAAGTATTGTGGGGGCAGGGGGGGGAGTGGAACAGGGCAGATAGACTCTGGAGTATAGGAGAAGGAGCCTGCCATTTTAAATAGGGTGCTCCAGAGGACCCGCTCGAGTTGAGGTTTGAGAAGAGGCTCAAAGGAATTTGGGGAGTTGGCTAAAGTATCTGGAAAGAGTGCCCTGGCAGAAGGCAAAGGCCCTAAGGCAGGACTCCGCATGACACTTTTCAGGAGTTGCAGCAGGGAGGCCAGTGTGGTTGGGGTAAAGTGAGCAAAGAGGGTATTAGGAGGACGTCCCAAAGAGAAGAGAGGGCCTGACCATGCAGGGCCTTGTAGGTCACAGTAGGGATGCTGACTTCTCCTCTGAGTGAAAAGGGGAGCCACTGTAGGAGCCGTCCCTAGGAGCAGCATGATCTGACTTACACCGTATTGAGAGTAAGCTATAGGGGGACAAGGATGGAAGCAGGGAGCGCAGTTGAGGCTGATGTGGCAGTCTGGGTGCGAGATGAAGACCGCTCATGCTGGTTGGTGGCAGCAGAGATGGTGAGGACTGGTTGAATTCTGAATATATTTGGAATTCCCTGCCTGATTAGTTAGAGTGTAAGAGAAAGAAAGGTGTCGAAGGTGACTCCTGGGATTTTTTTGTTTGAGTGATGAAAAGATGGAGTCACCAGCTATTGAGATGGAGATGGAGGACACCACAGGGCAGGCAGGTGAGGACTTAAATTTGGGGGATCTCTGAGGCATCCCCATGGAGATAGGGAGCAGGCATCCAAAGGAGAGGGGTCTGGCCATTGACATATAAAGAGTCCATGCAAATGGTATTTAAAACCATGGATGAGATGACACCTCACGGGAGTGAACAAAAACATGACAGAGAAGAGGACTGTGGACTTGAAGAAGTTTGCTGGAAGAGAAGAAACCAGCAAAAGCAACTGAGAAGCAGCAGTCGGTGACGTAGGAGGCAGATTCAGGGTGGGGTGTCCCGGAAACCAAGTCACGGGGTGGAGGGAGGATCAGCATCGGGTCAGCATTCGAACTGAGCACTGACGGAGTGACAGATTGGACCGCGCAGAGGTCGTTGGTGATCGTCACCAGAGTGGTTTCTGCGGACCAGTAGGAGCGAAACCTGTTCGGGCCTGGGCTAAAGAAGGAAACGGAGAGCGGGGGACTTGTAAGTATAGGTGGAACCCCTACAGTGAGTTTTGCTGCCAGGAAGGACAGAGAAATGAGGTGGTAGCTGGAGAGTTGAGGTCACACGAAGGGTGTTTTGTCATTTTATATGTTATTTTAAATAGAAGACATCAGTGCATGTTTGTATTAGAAGAGTATTACTTAAGAGAAAGGGAAGGTTGCTGATGGAGGAGAGAAAGGGGCAAATGGCTGAAATTCTGCTTTTGGCTAGTGAGTAGGAGCAGGATGTAATACACAGGTGGAGTGACTGGCTCTGGGCAGGAACATGGATAGTTTTGTTTGCTGTGGCCTGTCCTTCTAGGGATTGAATTCTTTCTCTGTCATTTATGTTTCACCATTTTTCCAAACAGTGCAATTGTATCTCCATTATATTACTTCTTCTTGGAACATAGCTACTGCTTTTGGTTTGGCTCCTGATATATTGTGGTCATCATGAGTATCTTGATTCCTTCCCCCAGGAGTCCATACCACCATGGTATCCCTCCTGGCCAAATTGTCTGGAATGGTGTCCACTTACTAGTGCCCATTATCAGATCATTTCATACACAAGGTAATATCTGTAGCGATCTACCACAGTTGCTGAATTATCGGCCTGGGAAGAATTATCTCAGGGATGGAAAAAGTAATTCTGTGAAGCTTTGAAG